TTCCAGTTATTTTCTACTTTTAATAGTTTACAGTTTGATTGGAGGGACTCAAGTGCATTTTGACACACATTTCACACAACAACATTACAGTTTCAATGTGCAAAAAAGTTTTTAATATTTACATGTCATTTTTTATGGAACACTTTATCACATATTATTGAGTATTATCCACAACTACCACAGTGTCAGTAATATAAACATGAGTAAAATAAACTAAAAGTGGGCATAAGTATTTTAGGATCAAAAGAGACTTCAAAAATCATTCACAGCATTTCAGAAAACACGTACACAATATTTAAAGGTGCACAGCATAATTTTTCTGCCATTTGTTTGTCTCTTGTTTGAAGGACAGTGATCTTAAACTTAACTGACTCAATTAGTCTTAATAGGAAAAGTTCCTAAGTGTGGTTTTAACTTTCTATCTCCACGGAAACAAGCGCCACAAGACCAAGATGTTCAAGATATTTTAGAGCAAGAAAAACACCCGTAAGTGAATAAACACAAGATAGGAAGAGTTAGGAATCGGCGTTTCCCCAAAGAACACCTGAACTTTTCCATGTATTATTTATTTATTTATTTATACACTTGGGAAAGAGAAACACTATTTCGATTCTTCATATGTTTCCTATGAAGAACTGACAATAAACTTTTTGGAATTTTTGAATAGTCATATAAAGGAACATACCAGACAAAATAGCATCAAAATGAGACAAGCAGGTGGCAGATGAAAAGTTACACAGTGCACCTTTAAATTTAAAACCAGGCACTTTTAACCGTTCATTCTCCTATTCATTTACTCAAGGGTGGACGTTACTAATTATAAATACTCACATTACTGTAATTGAGTGGATTTTGGAGTAATTGTACTTTTATGAGTAGATTTTTAACCTACATCTGTACTTGTAATTGAGTCTCATTTTAGCTGTGTAAATGTTACTTTTTAAATTATAAAAGTTACTGCACATGTCCCAATTGCCCATCCAAACCCAAACACACTCGGATTGTCCAAAACTGTATTATTTCACTTTTACTTTTACTTAAGTACAATTTTAGCAGCAGTACTTCCACTTGTAATTGAGTAGATTATCGGCCTGTAGCAGTACTTCACTTGAGTACAAATGAACTGGTTTATTGAGAGAGTGTGGCAAAATTGTATGTACAAAAGTGAATATTCAAAATGAGAATAGCTGATTACTTGGTTTTGTATTATTATGTCATTAAGATCACTCTGCTGTATTTCTACATTGTTGGGTGGTTCACAGTACAGCCTTTGAAAAGTGAAAAGTGAAATATTTACTTTCATATTTTAAAATAGCATAAAACATGGTAAGCAGTATTTTATATATATACTGGTCATACTGAAATGGAGCAAAGGATCATGGTAATGTAGTTTACTGTGTACCTATGACACAATCCATTTAAGGCCCGGGCGCATAACATTTGGAGTATTTAGAAGAGTCCAAAATATCCAGACTGTTCAGTTTTCATCCTGGAATTCTGCGCTCATCTGAAATAATAAACACAAACAAATTGTTTATATATATATATATATATATATATATATATATATATATATATATATATATATATATATACACACACACACACACACACTGAGAAAAACACAGCAAAGCAGCATGGAAGACATACAGGAAAAAAAGTTACTTCCCCTATACCCATTTATTCTTCTGACTCAACTTGTGATGTCATGTGGTGATACAGGAAGTGCTCCACTGTTTTTTTAAACTCCACTCCACATCATTACTAGAATCATTTTGAAAAATTCAACTCTGGAATTGCCAGTCTGCACAATCTAAGAGTTACTCAAAACATGTGTGAATGAAGCAAAACACAGCTCCAGGTTTTTGAAAAGATAACAACATTTTAAAATGACTAAAAGCTCACAAGAGAATATCTAGCGTAATATAGGAGCTTTAAATATTGCTGTAAACTACTATCTCAGATGAGCATTTTCTTCAAAGGTTATACTTGATCTAGTATCTCTGTAAGAAGGATCTTTTCTTGAATCTAACCACAACCTGGAAGTGCAGATTAAAACGAACACAGTATGCTATAATGTCACATAGTGAGTCAGGAATTAAATGACTTACATCACTCAATCACTCAGGCATAATAATAGTTTATATAACAGTGTGGGCAATTCTGATCAGTATTGAGGCAATCAAAAATGTGCTTGAAAACGCGGCTGTAAATGTTCTGGCTGATGTTAAAATACTACAAAAGCTTGAATGGAGAATTACACATAAATATAAATATGTGAATCTACTGTCATGCTGTCATGCAGGAGATGGGAATTCATGCCAAATGTGTTGACGAGCAGAACTACCTGAACGTCAAACTCCCCATATCCCAGCAGGTTGTTGGCCTGGAAGCACAGCACAGAGCACAAGGACAAAAAGCAAACGGTTGTCAAAAGACAAGTCCTTCATCTTTCAAACATTGTGGCTACATTTTAAAGTCGTAGTATGTCATTTTTCACCACAAAATAGACTATAATAAAAGTATGTTTTAATTGATTTATTTTTCATTGTCTTTGTTACCAGGGAAATGTTGTTCGTTAGTCTACAATATTCCACACTTAGAACATATCTGTCTCTATCTTTAGGTTTTTTGTTTTTTTTTTTATTTCCATGGACTTTCCACATCCAGAAAGTGACATACTACAACTCTGCAATAGTCAGAATGATGTGTTATAAATGATAGAAGTAGACATTAAGAATAAAACTTCTACTGAACCCAAATTTGAGCAGAGCAAATCCAGAGGTTACAGTATCTATCCTTGCTAGTGGGAATGCATATTATGTTTGTGTTCTTGGGCAAGATTCTTCAGCTTCTTTGCCTCCAGTGTTTGTGTAAACCACGGGTGTCCAAACTTTTTTCATCAAGGGCATATCTATACACAGACAAAGCAGAGGGCTGATCGAGGGCCGTAGACTGGTGCTGAATACAGTGAATAATTCAAATATGTGCATGTTTAACACGTTAGAATGAACCATCAGTCTTTATTCATGCTAAGATCCTCAAAACCACACACTAAATATTCAATATTTGCTTTATCAAGGCAGAGGTTCAAAAAACGTGCAGTAAAAAGTTACATTTTAATTGATGCAATGTCATTTGGGCCAATTCACCTGGAAAACTGAGGGCCAAGAGAAATTTGTCTGAGGGCCACATTTGGCCCACGGGCCATAGTTTGGACATGCTTGGTTTAAGGGGTAGTAAGTATGAAAGTATGAAAATGTATGAGTTTATTTAAGAGACAAATGACAGCAAGGTTGCACTCAGAATTCTAAATGTTTTTTATCTGACTCCTAGTCTGGACTCACCATGGCGTCTATGTCTCTGTGACCCACCACCTGCTCCAGGACCTTGTAGTCGTCTGGAGACATGGGCATCATGGTGTCCTGCATTCTGGAGGGATGTCTGGACAACAAATAAAAGTCATTTGTATTTCATTTGTGCCTCACAGAAATATTTGGATAAACCCATTCATAAAAAACATGAGGTACATAACTTACACTTCCGACACAGATATGAGCTCTGTCTTCATGTAGCCGCTCTTCTCAGTGTTCTCCACGTCCATGGGCTCTTGAGCTGTAATTACCAGATGTAATAATAATAATATAATCCAAATTTCATGTCATGGTGTCACAGAATAATAGGATTTTATTTATTCATTAAAATGCCCTAAAACAATGAATTCAGTTCTGCTCTGAATAATATGGGCACTTGTTCTGCCACTTGTCTAATTAACAGTGCCTTTTAAAACATGAATCACAAAAAAGAATTATATTAAGTCTATTCTTACTCGACAAGTGAACCTTTTGGGTGGGGGTTGGAATGTTCCATAATACAGCATTAAAATCTTGCATTTATTCATATATTGGTGCTTTAGTGCAAAAAAATACCAAAAAAACCCCCACATGCCTCTTTTCAAATCTGACCAGTAACCTGACCTGCTTCTCTCTTTGGAGAAATGTAAGTGTAATACCATACTGTGGAATATTCCAGGTTTAGCAGAACACCATCATGCAGACAAGTAGCATAGCACCAAAAACGTTGCATAGTGCACCTGTAAAATTTCAATTATGAACTAAAGAATTGTTGGACCTTATCATTATTTGGGATTGACTCCACAAACGTCAAGTCATTTCCACTGACAGCAATCTGGTCTGTGGTGTTAAATAATCTTACCAAATATTATATACACATATTTCTTTTCATTTGGATGAGTTTTATCATCAGTTGTTGATTCTATATACGTGTGTTTCTTAACCAGGTACTAGAGTGTGTGTGTGTGCAGTATCTGTGCTGGTACTCACTCTCGGTGGGCTTGCTAGTACTTCCCAAAGGCCTTGTCTTTGGGGATGTTGGGGTAGAGGAAGCGCAGGGGGTTCTCGGGGATGTTCTCCACGGCCATCACTTTGTACGTGCGGATGATGTCCGGCAGAGTCACCGCAAACAGCTCCTTCTTTGTGTACGGCTCCACTGAACGGTACACTGGCTTTCCTACGGGGAAAGCGTGGGCAGTGAGAGACAGATGACCATTCACTGTCTAATTAAGATTTCAATGGGTAATTATGAGTCAGGAATGGAGAACAGGAAGTAGAGCTGAAATATGAAATTTAACATTTACGAAAAATTTGAAAAAGATTGAAAAGTAATACAAATATGCACATGCATTTCAGAACATTCTTTACATATTAAAAGATCCAAAGGTTGAGATATATACTGTATTTTATAGAGGGAAATGAAACAATGACTTAGAAAGTCACCATTCCAAGATTATAATTGTGTGTATTCAAACTAGGGTTGAAAAACACTAATCAATACTGAAGCTAGTAAGAAACTATTAATTTGAGCAGGTATCAGTACTAAAAAGCACATTCACAGGACAGAAATGAACATTTCCTGAATTTAGAATGATCCTGATCTGTAGCAGAACAAGTATAAGAGCGTCACATAGTATTCTAGTACACGCCCAAGGACCTCTCTGGAACCTACGAGTTTGGATGACTGAGGGATTACACAGATAAAACATGGACATTCTATTGTCTAAATAAAAAATGTTTTTTATTATCATCATGGTATCAGAGTCAGTTTGGAGTATTGAGTTTATTTCTTAGGATTGAAATCGAGTTTTAAATTTTAGTATCATGACTTGGGCTAGGTATCATTAAGAAGTTGCTGATACGATACATACCTTGATACACAGGCCACGATACGATACACTTCTCGGTACAGTACACTTTCTGTTTGATATATTTCAAATTGATTCGATACGGTTCAATAAAAATAAAGACTAAATCATCAATCAAAACACAAACATTTTTATCATCAGAACAGTGAATTGAGTTTCCTTCCTCAAAACAAGCAACAAAACTGCAGCTGTAACAAAATAACTGAGTAAAATATACCAAAAAATACTCTTGGCAATTTATCGATACAGCAGCCCATGATATTGATACTGTATCATCACATTAAGCAATATAATAAATGGATAGTTTTGCACACTGCAATCATGACAACACTAATTATTATGCTACTTTTTCATTATGAAATGGACTTGGTTGTTTGTCAACAAGAGCAGATGACACAATATGAAAACTAGAAATGTAATGATTTTTCTGAATAACTGTGACTAGACAGAGTACAGTACTAAAAAGTATGTAGTAGTTTGTAAGGTAAAGTACTGTGTACCGTGTACATCGTGTTCGATCCAGGTGAAGGTGATGGCGCCCTCTCTGCTGCTCTCGCTGAAGCGCAGGAGGAAGGTTCCGGGGCACTTGTCACTGAGCAGGTGCTTCTCTCGCTCCTTACTGATGAAGCCCATGATGGAGCTACAACATACAACATTATAACACAGACCACAGCGGCGCCCCCTTCTGGAGGTACAGAGGAGGAACTCACCCGTCGTTCCACTGGGAGAGGAGGTGACGTTTGATCAGGTCCAGGATTCCTTCAATCCACAGCCAGAATGGGAAGGTTTTCTCCATGGCGCTTTGCTGCAAGAGGAAATGTGGAACACGTCAGTGTGTTCATTTTGACAAGCTGTTTTAACTGAGTTTTATTCTGTTTTTTAGTTTAGTAAAGGTTTAGGTTTGAACACTACAGATGTGTTGTTGGACGGTGATTTTGTTTATGCACTTTATGTTGGTGTCAGCCAAAATGCACTTTGTCGTTTGAAACGGGTCAAAATCTCAGCAGCTCAACTTTTAACTGGAACACAAGAACATCTCACCTATTTTAGCCTCTCTCCATTGGCTCCCACTGTCTTTTAGAGTCAAGTTCATAATTCTTTTATTTACCTTTAAATATTTGCATGGCTTATCTCGCTGACCTGATCCACCCTTACGCCCCCTCTCGCACTCTCAGGTCAGCAGACCAGCAAACTTGAGCTTCAGGGGGCCTGTGTGTTTGTGGACCCAGTCGCCATTAGACATTAGACAGGTGGAGTTTGTACCTGTTTTTAAATCACTCTTAAAACCCCACCTTTTGTCACTGGCTTTTGACAAGTGAGATGTAGATTTCTTGTTGTTGAGTATCTTATAGTTTTCTGTTTTGTAGTAGTTGTATTGTGACTTTCACTGTGATTGTCCTTGTCTGTCCTGTGTAGCACTTTGGACAGTTGTAAAGTTTTTAAAGTGCTTTATCAATGAAGTTGCTATGGTATGGTATCTACTCTCCATTCATTTATTCCTTTGTTCCTGTCATTTTTTTAATGTTTTTTTATTATTATTAGTTCTTTTAGTAATAACAATAATGTCATAGTTTTAGTCATTATAAATACCTTTTTAGTTTGTAACAAAATTTTTATTCACAGAATTAACAGACTCTTATATACAGTATCATTCTCTGACATCCTGCTGTTGCAATATGTTCCACCAGCTCCTTCACTCATCTTCACCGCAGTAGCAGAACCATCAGCCTCCTCAGCCTCTCCATCTCCTCCTCTTCACCAACATCTCATCCTCTTCATACGCCAGATATTTTACTAAGCAATTCAGTCCCTTCATTGCAAATATACTTCTCAATAGACTATAGCTTATAGCTTATACATTCAGGAAACTTCTCAGACACTCATAGCCTCTGAACTTACATACTATAATATACAGCTTGCTCAAAACATTACCTATGTTTCTATGTTCTTGTTGATTTTTTTTAATGGCATTATTTTGTTATGGAATTGTGGTGTGCCGAGTGTATCTGACCTTACAAAACTTTGTCCAGGGAATGAGTCCATCTGGGTTACCCTTGGCTTTGGCTCCTGTCAACACATACTTACAGTCAATATTTATACACAATATATTTATTTTTAGATAGTAGAATGTGTAGGTTTCACTCTCTCAATATGAATATGTTGTAAGAAATATCCAAAAGTAAACTGCAAATATTAAACATGATCAGTTATATTAGTCACAGGACCAACTATTCTACTAAAAGTATTTAACCACAGCCCTTTTAAGCCCCTTTAATAACTAGGCCTTCTGTGATCAATTTAAAATGACCCATATTGGATAACAAAATGAACTGACTCATACATGATCTCTTATGTGTGCGCCTGACCTAATAGTTTGTCTGCGAGCATGTTGAGCTGCTCCTGGTTGAGTCCCCTTTTGGTGACAGAGGAGAACTGCCAGCTCAGGACCTCCGATAACTGGGACCACTTGGCAGCCGGAGGAGACAGGAAGAACTTCAGATTCTACAGCACAGAGAGACGACTTAGGAGAAGAGTCAGGCATCTAATCGTTTAAAGCTGCACTGTGTAACTTTTGCTTGTCCCCGTGGAGATGTTATTGCTTTATCTGCACAGTATGGCATTACACTTTTATTATTCTATTAGGTGTGTAGAACCCCTCAGTCGTCCAGGTAGAATCCATGACAAATCCATGTTTTTGTTTTTTTTTGAGGGGAAATGAAGTGTCTCAGTAGAATTTCTTTGCACAAACTAATCTATGAATCTATAAGACCCCTTAAAAGTTTGTGAACAGTGTGACGTTTTCTGGTGTTATATATATACATATCAAACATTTTGACTGAAACAAACTTCTGTCCAGTTGACCAATTTCTCCTTTGTCATTATTCAATTAGGTTTCAATTGCAAAAAAACAATACATTATAAAATATATAATGTTCTTGTGAGTGGGGTCATCTATCCACAGATCTGAACTGTAACTTCTTTTTCTCCATATAGTTTAATGCAGTACTGTGGAACATTGTACTCAACACAATAACATCCATAGAGAAGAGCGGGTGCTGGGACATTCTCCAGAAAAGTTCCATAGTGTAGCTTTAGGCAGTGACATAGTGCTGGGACCATACCTTTGGCTCGGTGGTGAGCATGTTGTACCAGAGGATAGACGCCCACCCACTGGGCAGCTGGCACACGTTTGAGATGACCACCACGGGCAGAGACATGGCCTACAGACAAACATGGAGGATGGAGAACTTCTTCATATATCATTCTGACACTGATCCCGTGTTGCCGTGGTGACAGTTACCTCCAGTCGGATGTTCAGGCCACTTTGGTTCAGCTGCAGCTCTGACTCAAAGCTCAAAGAGTGAAGCTCTTCGGTTACAATGAGAGGAACCTAAAAGCGAGTACATAAAAGACTCTGAAAGACTCCTTCATCACAAAACTGCTCAGTCCTAGACGTAGTTACATAAAGTGCATATGAAAAGTTAGACTACACAACTGTGCCCTAGTTTTCCCAAGTTTGTCACTTTTGGTTTATCATTTCCATAGAAAATTAATATTTGAACAGCAAAAAAAGTGATTTCTTTCATGCATATTGTCTCTGCATTTCAGATGGAATTTTGTGTATTAACATGTAGTGATTCCTTTAACTCAGTGCAACTTCCATTTTTCACCTTTTTTTTTCAAATTTGCCCCTTGACTGATGTAAAACTATGGTCATAATTTACCACATGTACTTTTCCATCAAACTAAGTAATAATTACAAAAAACATGAAAACTTGCAAAACAGTATCTTACCTCGTTATGTTTGTTTCCTGCTACTTTTTGCTCTTTCAGTTGCTACAAAGACAAAAGTATAACACTGAGTAAACATCGCTCCTTGACAAAACACATTCTATATAAAGAATAGGCCCCACAGACGTACACTAAGAAAATGAGCTTACCAAGTGTCTGAACTCTGCTGCTAGACTGCCATTGGACTCCTCCATGTTCATCACTTTGGTATTTGTTCCCAGAATGTTGAATTTACGGATTCTGGATTAAGATAAAGTCCAGATTATATTGACAATTGATTGAATTGATTGAAAAAATGAATAAATAAAAAAGCTCACCCTTTCTTATCGGTCACATCCCTAGAAAAAAAGAAGATGAAACCGTTAACATTTGAATTCTGTGTTGATGTATTGTAATGTCAAGACACAATCTTACTTGTCAAACAGTGCCTTGACTTTGAGTTGGTAGTTGAATTCTGGCAGTTTCACCAAGAATCTGCAAAAGACACAAATATCCAATCCAATGTATTGTTGTCATATGACCTGCCCAAACTGTATGTGCTCTAATAATGAAAGGCCCTGTGCCCGATGTTCTTCCAAATGCAGCGTTTCCCTCACACAGACCAATCTGTGGAGCAGCGCCACAGGATGAAAACCGAGCGACGCAAATTGATTCCACCTCTTTTTCTTTTTTCTCAACAGGATTCTGTCATTCTCACTCACACGCACAGAGAAAGAGAGAGAGACACACAGAGAGACAGAGAGACAAAGAGACGGGGAAGGAGAAAGAGAGAGAGACAGACAGAGAGAGAGACAGAGACACAGAGATAGGGAGACAGAGAGAGAGAGACAGAGACAGAGGGACAGAGACAGAGAGACAGAAACAGAGAGCGAGAATCAGTGAGACAGAGACAGAGACAGTGAGACACAGAGAGCCAGAGACAGAGACAGAGAGAGCCAGAGACAGAGAGACAGAAACAGAGAGCGAGAATCAGTGAGACAGAGACAGAGACAGTGAGACACAGAGAGCCAGAGACAGAGACAGAGAGAGCCAGAAACAGAGAGACAGAAACAGACAGAGAGAATCAGAGACACAGAGACAGAGAGACACAGAGAGACAGAGACAGAGAGAGCCAGAGACAGAAACAGAGAGAGGGAATTAGAGAGACAGAGAGACAGAGAGCGACAGTGACAGAGAGACAGAGACAGAGAGACAGGGAGACAGAGAGAGAGAGACAAAGAGAGAGCCAGAGAGAAAGACACAGTGAGAGACAGAGAGAGTGAGAGACAGACAGAGAGCGACAGAGACAGAGAGACAGAGAGAGAGAGAAAGAAACAGGGAGACAGAGACAGAGACAGACAGAGAGAGACAGAGACAGGGAGACGGAGAGAGACAGAGAGAGACAGAGAGAGAGACAGAAACAGGGAGACAGAGAGAGAGACAGAGACAGACAGAGAGAGACAGAGACAGGGAGACGGAGAGCGACAGGGAGAGACAGAGAGAGACAGAGACAGAGACAGAGAGAGACTGAGACATATAATACATTCTATTTTTCACGTTTTGAAGTCAGTAAGTACCTTAGTTTTACAGTGAACTGGACACCCGTCTTGAGCACCAGGGGCCTCTGTGGGTGAGTGGGCATGCAGGGCTGCCTCTCCACCACCAGGGCGCTGCACACAGGGACACACACAGGGGTTAGACACACACAGGGGAGGGGGGGCTCGAGGAGTGGGTGGGTGCATATACTTGGAGAGCAGGTTCTTGAGCAGCTCCAGGGCCCGGGCCTCTAGTAAAGCCTTCTTCTGGGTGATGGGGTCGCAGTCGTAAGTGAACATCTGCTCCTGCTCCTGGAGCTTCTTGAGGTGCTGGCGGACCTGCTGGAGGCACTCGGCCACAGCGGTGAACCTGGGGGGAGGAGAAGATCAACAGCATAGTCTGGCTTGGGTAACAGTAACAGTAAGAAGAGATATTTATGCACAAACTTAAAGCGTGTATGACTGGTTTTTATGACTCTCAAATTTTGACTTCATTTGGTGAGATACTTTTATATATAAATTATAGTTTTACACCAATCAAGAAGCAGTTTGTTAAGTTGACAAATATGCTGAAAATGACAGAAAGTAGAGAGTTCTAAAACACTGATACACAAGTGAGAATTCTGTCTAAACGTTTGGCTCAATTTACATGCAAGAAACATTTTTCTGATACTTTAAACAGTATTTATAACAAAATAAAGGCGTTTTCTTATATTTTACTTGTCAAATATTAATTTCTGTGTACATTAAAGTGGTTTTAGTGTAGTGGACTACATTGTTGCTAGGTAAAAGTTATGGAATTCCCTAGTGCGATGTCATGATTTCCAACCAGAAAGTTAAAAATGTAAACTAGAAAAAGGTCAGACTGGGAAAAATCTTATATATAATGATCCTAACTTAAAAGGAATGGTCTAAACCAGGGGTGGGCAATTATTTTTTCCATGGGGCCACATGAGAATCAGAAAATATTGTGAAGGCCAAACTCAATTCTGCATAATATTCATTGTATTTTTTTTTAAATAAAAAGCAGTATAGCAGTATAGCATTGTTTAACAAGCTGCTCAGACATTATAAGTATTACAAGTACATGTTATGGCTAAGCAATGAAAAAGTGAGGCTGCCTTACAAAAATGTCATTTAAAAAAAACACCTCTAAGATAAAAGTAATGCAGCTTTAGTCCATGCATGAGGTCAATAAATGAGTTTATAAAATATGATTATTTTGTGATTCCAAATGATCTTAAATGGACCAGTCAGAGTCAACCAAAGAGCCATATGTGCTCCACGAGCCTGACAATGCCCAGGTCTAGTCTAACCTGTCATAGGCACTTGAAAATTTGCCACTATGATTCCTGTTTTAGAAAGTTTTATTGTTTACAATTTATTTGCAAAATGCACTTTACAGACTTTGTAAAAAGCCCCACTGGGCCTGGGTAAACAGCAGCCTTTACCACCCCAGTCTGACAGCCCTGTTCCTGTGCCTCACCAGTTCTGCAGTTGGTCCACACAGGCGTTGGGAGGTCCTCCGATACAGGCGATCTGCTGCCTCTGCTTCCACTCGGGCAGCTCCTCGGACACCAGGTCTGACACTAGACCCTGGCTCAGGCTCAGCAGCTCCCCCAGCTTAGCCACCACATCCTGGATGTATCATACACTTTTAGTATACCCTCCTCTGTAATCATGTTCACCACAGCAGCAGAACCATCAGCCGCCTCACACTCTCTTTGTCTTTGTAGTAAATTGTTTATTACTCCACATTTGCATTAAACTACTATGACTACGACTACTACTACTACTGCGACTACTACTACTACAGTACTGTTTATTGAACTAAATATAGTGGCTACCAAGTGGGTTTTAATGCAATTAGACTTTTTGGAGCTTTCTACCATGTAATAAGAGTCTGTCATTAAAAACATGCCTGAAGAGCCTTTAGATGTCATCCATACATGTTTCATAGACCTTTTAAACAACGGCCGGAAGTGCCCTGTAGGTTTGTGGAACTTCCGGTTAATTGTTTTCTGTGGCAAATATGTGTGCAAATGTGTGTGTAAATGTGTGTTGTATTCTCCAGCAGCTTCATAAATCTGCCCCATTACCAAATCTTCAACCAACAAGCTCCACAATTCTTCCATGAAGAATTTATCCCCAACTATCAAGAGAAGAAAGACAAAAACTTAAAGGAAACAACGACGACGCATTAGTCACACACTGAACAAAACTAACATATGGTCATGAATAAAACAGAAGGAACTTGTTTACTCAGGCTGATTCAACAATTCAAATTAAAAATCAATTTAATGATGTAGATATTAGCATAAACAGAGAGATTTGTGCAGTTTAAATGCGAAACATGTAATCTGTGAACACTGTAGCATTTGAATTACACAACTCTCTCTGTCTATGCTGATATCAACATCAAGAAATTGATTTTTAATTTTAATTCTAGAATCAGTCTGAGTTAACAAGTTACTTATTAATGAATTACTTACTTTAACTTTTTCATGCCCATATGTTAGTTTTGTTCAGTGTGTGACTAATGTGTGGTCATTGTTTCCTTTAAGTTTTGGTCTTTCTTCTCCTGATAGTTGTGGATAAATTATTCATGTTTATCCTTTGTGGATCTTGTTGGTTGAAGATTTGGTGATGGGGCAGATTTATGAAGCTGCTGGAATATACGCCAGACATTTATACACAAATTTTGTCACAGAAAACCATTAACTGGAAGTTCCACAAACCTACAGCGTGGTAATTCCAACAGCTGTGAAAAAGGTCAGTTAGTGGGATGCATGCTGATGGTGCTCTGGAGGGGGAGTGAGCAAAAGGAGGTGGGACTGAGAATGTCAAAATGAAACTGACACTTTTTTTCATACGTTGTTTTCTGTGTATATACTGTATCATTTTGAAACCCCAAAAATACCCCACAGAAGTGTAATAACCCTCCTTCTTTAACTGCAATGGCATGTCAAAATCATATTATTGATCAAATAGGCTTGATTGATTAAAATAATAATTTGTAACTAATATATTTTATTGCCATAGAGTTTTCCGTAGACAGATCCTAACCTGTCGTTTGGCTTTGACGTCCAGACACATCCTGCTGAGGTTCATCTTCTCTCTCTCCAGTTCCTTCGGTGTCATCCCGTTCTTCTCGTTTTCTGATCACCACAAACCACAGTCCTTATTTAACTGAACCGTACATACATTTAATCAATCTGTTTTTGTTTATGCTCACCTGTGTTCTTAAACGTGTTCATTTTGAAGTCATACTCATCCTGCAGGTCTTCTAGAGTCTTGATGTTCTGATCTGCAGACTAAAATAACAAGATTTCTTTTGTCAAATACATTATGTAGAATAGATTCCGTTATTTCCTTATGATTGAAAGCAACACCACGTATCTTTCTGGAGTTTGCAAGTCACCAGCATGATTCCTTAGACACAGAAAGTTAAAATCATACTTTAAATTCTACATGGAGATGGATGATAGATTACATTTTTGTGTAATTTTTTGCTACAAAGTTATTCTAAATTAAAGTGATTTCGTTAGTATGACATTAAACAGCTCTACCTTACATTTATTCAGTTACAAGAGGTTTTATAGCTCAAAAACACCTAGAAACAGACATTCTGACTGTGAGCGGGGTCACCTCTCCACAGATCTGACCTGTAACTTGGTCTGGTTTGGTCTCCATGAAGATAGAAAGTTTTAATGCCATATTGTGAAACATTCCAGACAAAGCAATAATGGAGAAAAATATGGAAATGAAAAGTTACACAATGCACCTTTAAATATTCAGGTATTGTATGTTACCCTAGTAACTAAATAAATACAAAAATAAAAAGATTCACAACTAAATACTACAATAGGCTTCTTTTCCTTCAGCAATAAATAGATCAATTATTGTTCACACGGATTACAGTTGGACTTTTAAATACTAACAATAATTCAAATTCTTATTACATTAGCAGACAAACAATTTTCACATATATACACTGAGAATAAAAAATGCCCAGAATTTTGCAAAAGGAAGTTAGCTAAAACCACTTCTGCTTTATCTGAAAATGTTTACCAGGAATATGAGCCCTGTCAGAAGACCCCTCGTGATTTGTGTATTACCTGAACTTTCTCCTTCATCTCTTTGACTTTGTTGTCCAGCTTCTGCTTCTCCACAACCATGGCCGACACGGTGCCCTCTCCCTCCTGCTGTAAAAGTGTCAAGAAAACTGGGTTCAAATCACATACACAGTTTCCAAAAGCTGCTTTTAGTCCTTGATAGAGATTACTTCTTACAAAAATACTTTCTGAATACTGTATATGTCTTTACTTGATACTACATTAACTACACAGCCTATGTTGTTATTAACTAACACAGCTCAACACAATGAATATGACTGTGCATTGTGCAAAGTAGTAGAATGAAATTAATATTACAGGTTAAATTATAAATGAAACAGATAACCAAAATGGAGAAAAAGAAGGAAGGAATGCTGAAGTGTAACTGTAATTGCGTCAAAGACAAGATTAAGGTTAAATTAAATGAAACATTTTATAAAAGGATTAAGTATTAGTTTTTATGGTCAGTCACTGAAAGCCTATTGGTGCAAATTTGTGCCACAACATGACTCTGAGAATAGAGGTGGGCAATATTCCAAATATTGTTTTAAGGAAAAGTAACATTTTCATATTGAGAATATTGTATGTAGGGTTGTCAAAAGTATCGAAAATCTGATTTAAAAATGTATACAAAAGCTAGTACTGAAACTATATACTAATTTGAACAAATATTGATACTAAAAAAGTCACAGGAGAGAAATGAACCTTTCCTGGATAACTTTAGAATGATCTGGAGCTGTGTCAGAACAACTATAAGAGAACTAGAATACACCCATGGACAAAGGAACCTACTGCACCACTGAGGATTACACACATGTAAGACACATGGAATAGAAATGATAAAGTACTATGATTTAACACTGAAAGTTGCATTCTGTTGTCTAAATAAACTAAATTATTATTGTTATCACTGACATCATGACATCAGAATCTGTATTGAATATCATGTCTGTTTCTTATAGGGCTGGTATCATTAAGACGTTGCTGATACAATACATACCTTGATACATAGGCCACGATACGATACTTGTCTCAGTACAGTGCACTTTCAATTTGATACTAAATATTTCAAATCTATTCGGTATGGTTCAGTATAAAATAAAGGCTAAATCGTGGCTGTGATTCTAAAAGTCTTTGTTAAACCACTTCTTGTATAAAGTTCATATGAAACATAAACATTTTAATCCTCAAAACAGTGTAAATGTCAAATGTGCCACATAAACAAGTTTCCTTCTTCTGAACAAACAACAAAACTGTAGTTGTAACAAAATAATTGAGTAAAATTTAGCAAAAAGTACTGTTGGCGATATATAACTACAGCAGCCCATGATCACATTAAACAATACAATATATTCATATTTTGATATTTTGATATTTTTGCACACCCTTAATTCCTTAGTATGAAAATAATTCATTATACCCCTCATGCAGTACCTCTGCACTTTTGGCTATCTCCAGGATCTTCTGCTCCTCCTTCAGGTTCCTGGAGATGATCATGGCCATGTGGATCGGGTCTTCTTGAAAGCGGTCCTGCACAGACAGCCTCTCACATTACTACATTATCACATTAGAGCACGATCACACTTTCTCCATGTCCCTGTGTGTTACCTGCAGATTCCTCTTGATCTTGCGGATGTTGTGTTGGAGTAGGAAGTTGTTCTCCAGGGCGAAGCGGCTGTGCTGGTCATCCAGTTGGGACAGCAGCTCGTGGAAGCGCACCGTGGCCAGGGAGTCGTTGAACGCCACTGCCTCCCTGAGAATATACACAGAAAAAATCTACTTACTATGTTTATTCTTTCATTCAACTTATGTATGAAGTATTACGAGTGATGTTTCAGATTTCAGCTTCCTGTTATAGGGGACATCATTTGGATGGGTGGCTATACTAATAAACATTTATTTTTCAATACTAGATCATTATACATTTTCATCAGGTTAAGGTTAGCGTTGGGTTTGGGAATAGTTCATTTGGTTTGGATAGGGCTTTGGGACAGGTTCACTAACCATGTCTTGGCAGAACTGTGCTGGAAAAAAAAGGACGCGACATTTCACTATTCAAAGATATAATATTATGTTTTTGTTAATTGTCATGGCAACCGTCCAAATTTATTATATGAAATATGAAACCCATGGATATATTCACTCACTGTATGTTATCGGGAATGACTCTCAACCTATAGTCATTATGTTTTCTGTAAGCACAATAGAATCCAAATTTGTCTATTGACAATTTATTTTTCAAATCCCAAATGCTGCAATATTTAAAGTATTGTAATATCCTCCACAAAAGACTAAATCTCCAGTCTTATTCTGTATAAAAGCTGCTAACTGTGTAGTTCAGATCTGTACTAACATGTTCTGAAATGTGACTCTTGTGTTTGTTTGTCAGTTCACAATTCAGTTTTTTGGCAGTTATTCTTAATGCATTTAAAATGTGAACTTTGAACAGAATCCTTTAATTAAAACACAAATCTGATCACAATCTTTCAGCACTACTGTAAACTACTACATTTAAGTGAAGAATGTCATATAATGTCAACAGAAATGTTTGCTGTGAGTTCTGACCAGTCGATGCTCTCGATCCACTTGCTGAGGTACTGCCTGATGTCCATGGGGAAGGAGTCGTCATAGAGCTGGTCCACCTGCTCCAGGTACTTACAGTCCAGCATCTGCAGCTGGTACCACTGCGCCATCTAAAGGACAAACAACCGTTACTGTGACACACTACTATGTGAATGACTCATACTGTCAGGGATGGAAAGTAACTACTATAACTGGGTAGATATTTTGTTTAATTGAACTTTTTAAGTGGATTTTTTATACTTGTACTTGAGCATAATTCTAGCAAGTAATTGTAATTAGTTACATTTTAAATCACAGAAGTTACTGAGTGCTGTACAAGTTCCAATGTTGCTAACACATGGCTGTCTCACCTCTGTCTCTGCTTCTCCACACCCACAACCACACATAACAGCACTGCATCACCTGCTCTGATTAGTCAGAGCTCAAAGAATATTCAAATTGTGGTCTAAAATGAATATGTTTAATTTTACACCACTGAATTGTATTAAAAGGTTATCTAAAATGACACTAAAATTGTGTTTTTCAGGCATATTTTTCACTTTTACTTGTTTACTTTCACTACATCTTTACACTGAAATTCTGATGTTCTCTTCATTCTCTACAGAAATGTCACAAGATTTGTATCATGTTTATTAGACCTAATAGTTGTATACACCAACTAGCGTTGCGCAATCGAATCGAAACACAATTTCAGTTGGCACAATTATCAATTCGCAAAGGCTGCAATTAATAGATAATAGAATGTGCTCTGCAAAGAACAAAATAATCTGCCGTTTTATATTTTTACATTTTCATAACAAATTTTAATTCTTCTGGAGTTGTGTAGAATGTGCAGGATGAACAACAAGCAAATCAAATTTCAGTCACAGTTTCCATAATCGTGCAGTGTTAATACCATATATTTTATTGTTCACAATGTTTAATGTCCCCATCATTTATAATGGCCTAGATCTCCTCCAGTTCTCCAGTTTCATAACAGAGCATGTACACAGCTCCTCGTTGCGCCTCCTTGATTCCATAAACTGTAACCAAAACATTTATCAAACCTCCTCATCTGTCATCATCTCTGAAGCTTAAAGGATTGGAAGTGCTTGAAAGAAAAGATTACTACGTTTGTTTTGGCACAATACCAATAACTATTGCAGTCTCGCATTCCAAGAACCAGAAACCTAAAAGCAGAGGTGATGAGCAGACTGCTGCAATGCTCATATAATCTTTTCAGAATCATCATTTATATACAGTCTACAGACTACAGCATAAAGTCAAGACTTTAACATCACCCTTTGAGCTGACAGAGCTATATGTTGGGTATTTGGGATACAAGTCAAGCAGAGCTGTGAGATCATGAAACAAAACTGTATAGGACAGATATAATAGGCCAATAATATGATACAAAGCAGATAGTCACCATGGATGTACAAGTAATGTCTCGTTCAACTCTGCATTCAAAGTTCTGCTAAACTTTCAGAAAAGCTGTGACTCTTGAGTTGAACTGAATAATGACCCTTAAATACTAATACTCTTGACTAATACATCTAGCCTTACCTTCACAGATCGGCCCTCGGACACAGGCTGAGCTCCACACACAGACAAAAGAGGAGGCTGTTCAGGTAAAAACACAAGACCTAAACGCACATCCGCGGAGCCTCTGCTACTGTAATAACACGGAAATGACTCCAGCCAATCACGATGCACCGTCTATGACTTGGACCCGCCTCTTACAAATATGAGCCAATGAAATCCCTCCAACATCGGCTGTTCTTTCAGTTAGCAGGGACTCCAGGAACACCTAATACATATGCGTTTATTTTTATTTTATTACAGTTTGTTTGGGACGAACGCCACATTTACGGGCAAGCGTAATATTTTATAACTGTCTAAATCAAACAAAGCAAGAACTACTGGTATTATTTGTGAAAAGAGACATCGTGGCGTTCCTCTCCGGGGAGGACAGGCTGATGTCCGGAAGAGCCGCGGTGGTCATGTGCTTTCAGAGAAAGAGAAAGTAAGTGGAAGTGTTCATGTGCACGCTGAGGTTTGAAACTGAAACTTACCTCACTGATCACAAAATGAGAGCTTATATTTGCATACGAGGCAAATCAGTACACAAAAACAGTTTTACCAATTTGATTTAATTTGACAGATAAACACAACTGACTACTTTTTACTGTTTGACAAGTTCCATGACTACAATAACTGTCAGTAATTCTCTCTGTTACAATTAAAGGCTGCAGATGTTCCCAAATGGTGGCCCATATCTTTATGTTACAGCCTAGAACAAAATCCTATACATTTCCTAACTGTCTGCTTCTGCTAAAACTCTTTGACTGATCCTCTTGTCTCAACATTGAAAAAGAAAACATTCTTGGCACACCAATAGACACAATTAACACCTCGAATTAAATCTATAAAATGTGACAGTTCAAGCTAACTTAAAAATAATTTGTCTTTGTGTGTAAAATCCCTCAGTTCTCCAGATAGAATCCACAGCAAAGGAGAAATTCAATTTGTCAACCGGACAGAAGTTTATTTTGGATGAAAATGTTTCTCAGCTCATGCTTGAACAGAAATGGACTCAGACATCATCAGTCTCCCATCTACAACTCCATCCTCAAACCTACATCAAAACAAAGAAAACAGTAGATGTAGTCAGGTCAGGGCCAGAGGTGTGAAAACATTCATTATGGGCCTGAATGATTCTGATAATATGTCCCCACACTCACTGTAAACTGTAAACAAGTAGGGTGTTAGTTTTAGAGTAGCTTCAGAAACATTTTCAATCAAAATAAACTTTTGTTCAGTTGACAAATTGGATTTCTCCTTTGCCACAGTTTATCTTTCTGTTAGCCCAACTATAAGGAAACAATAGAAAGAACTTTAAAAATCTAGGCTATATCAGCTCACAAACTGCTCATTCACTCCTCCAGTACAGTGGACCACAACTGCTCTGGGGCGGACTGCTAAAAGTGTGACAAAACAATCACAAAGGTAGGGAGGTGTCCTGCTTAATGACACAATTGCAGAGTAATGGCTGATGAAGGGGTCAGACCATAAACCTATAGGGTTAACAGGCAGGTGTGTGAAAACCTACATGTGCACATCTATGGAAGTCATAAAAAAGGAAGATGTTGACTTGGAAAAACACTTTTTTCTAAGTTCTCAGATCACAGTTGGAACAGAACCCAAATCTCAGGACATCTCAGCATTTAAGGTCAGAAACCCCATGAGCAGCACAACAACATGAAGCCATCTGCTCACTCAGCCTCCCTCTGGATTTTACATTCAAACAATACAGATACATTTAAGTGCTGTTCTCAATATATCTCACCCCTCGGTTATGGTAGGCGTAAAACTTCAACACAGCTTGTGTTGCATTACATGTTTACATTCATCTACAAAAGAACAAAAAGTGCAATACTAATTTTAGTGAAGGTGCTTTTCGTCATCAGGTTAATGTGCAAACTCCTTTGGTCTGTGCACTGTGTGCTCCAGGTGTAGCTACAAAAGCATCATGTGAGTGTGGCACGGGGCACCATGACTGAGGCTATGCTCACCCGTTCAGGAGGAGAGAGTCATGTCCGTGTCACCCAGTTCATGTTTGTCTCAGATGGAACAGTCCCCTGCAGGGCTCCGGCTCACTTCAGGACACGCTTTCATAAACAGCTACACTCTCCTCCATCACTCAGCCACATTCAACTCTACATTTAGGTCACTTTACTTGAATGTGTGTTCAAAGTCAGCCTGGCACAAACAGACTCCTCGCAGTATCAGCGGGAAGTCTGGATATGGAGAATCACTTTGGATTTTTTTTTACAGGCAGGCCATCAGTAAACCATCACTCAAGTCTAAGCACTAAGTACCCATTTTTTCACAAAAGATCCTTTACAATGCTTTTGCCAATTATGGAGATCTAACATATGATGCACTAAAGATGCAAATCTTTAAACAAATGTTTGACTGCGCACATTAATAATTTGTGGAGCTACATCATTCAGGAGCAGCCACAGTGGTCCACCACCATGGAGGGGATCTTGCCATAGATCTGCTCCTTGCGGTTGAAGTAGAGCATGTTGATGGGGGACATCTTGGTGGGGGTGCAGCAGGGCCCGGCCGTGCCCCTGGGGTTGGCTTTGATCACCAGGTGGGCGTGGGGGTACTGCTGGTGGTGCATGAACTCACACTCTCCGGAGCAGTAGTTGGCGCGGTAACGCTTTGGGGCGATAATCCAGTCCCAGCCAAACTCCTCAAAGTCCACAGTGAGCGGGTAACGGCAGCAGCGTGTCTCTGAAGACTTTTCATCACAGTTGAGACCTGCATCACGCCGGGAACGCTTGGGGCTGTCCAGGATCTTCACCTCAATGAAGGGTTGCTGAGGAAAAGAGACACAGTGAAAACAGCAGTTGCCAACTCTCGCCCTCTGACTGCTACTGGTGGCCTTACCAGCCCCTCCTCCCCGGGCTCGGCCGACTTCACAGCCAGGTCCTCTCCCTGTGAGTCAAAGGCGTTGATCTCGATGCCGTAGTTGTTCTCGGGCTGTCGGAGCCAGGCCTGCAGCAGAGACTTGATGTCCACGCTCTGCCAGGACCCTGCCCCAGTGTCGATTTCCAGTCTGAGGGATCGCACCCTCACCCTGGTGCTGTTGCCCTCCCTGCCCGGCTTGAGGCGGGAGATCTGCAGGAAGACACTGCTGACCTCATGAGGAGGGCGCAGGTGCACCCACAGCTGAGCGCTCAGGATGTTTCTGGGCTGGATCTTTGGGCTCAGGCTGAACAGGCAGCAGGTGGACAGCTGCTGCTGGATCAGTTGGTCCGCTGAGACACAGAGAAGGACTTTTTTTCAGTCAGAGCACAAGAACAGTTACATCCACTTTTTCAGCTTAATTTCAGCTGTGTTTATCTCAATATACTGAACTCTTGATATGTTGTTGTGTATTTTGGGGAAATCAGAATGCTGGCTTGACACGTCAAGGCAGCAAAAAAAAATCTGAACTCACATAAACTTAGAAGATATGAAGCATATATGAATCAATCATGACTCAAATCATAAATATAATGAAATAAAATTATTTATCAAACAAAACAAAAAAAACACAATTTCTTCCATTTTTGAAAAGAATATGAACATGAATGAATGAATGCAGCTGTAAATGCATGAGTGTGGTGTGTTTACGCTTGGTTGCCATGGTGATGATAGTCTCGGTGCTGGCCCGCTCCTCCTCCTCCACGCGGGGGTCATACTGGTCCAGTAGCTGGGTGAGCGGGGGGGCTTTGGGCAACAGTGTGCGGATCATGTCCCGGCTGATGTTGGGGGCTCGCTCCAGGCGCAGGATGCTCAGGATCTGGGACTTGATGCTCTGGAGGCGCAGGAATTTGCTGTGCTCGCGGAAGTCGCAGGGAGAGCACTGGTCGGCGGGCTCCAGGGGGGATGTGGAGGTCCGGTTCAGGCCGGAGCACCAGCCCCCCCACACCAGCAGCAGCAGCAGCAGGGACACAGACAGCGACAAGTGCATCCTGGACCAAGGCGTGAAGGCTCTGTCAGTGTCCGCTCCAACACCAGCCCCAAAAGTCCAGCCTCTGCAGGACCACGGACGGCCCTTCTCCCTCCCTCCACTTAAGAATCGGGTCCCTGGGTTTAAACTTTCACAATCTTCAAAACACCCATGACCTAAAAAGGTTGGGTCACTGTTTCAAAGTGAGAAAAAGTAATTGATTTAGTTAAATTTGAAAATAACACTACCATTTTTTTTTTTTACCTGTCAGTGGTTGTAATGTTGACTGATTTTCTAGCACTATTTCACTCACTGCACCTTTAAGAGAGGTCCTTGTACAATATAATTACAGCTTACTAAAATACATAGTTGTCTTAGCCCCAGCCCATTCACACTCAAACTTGTTGTGCAAACTGCAAAATCTTTAAAATTCCAATATATGAAGCCACCACCGGACAACACTAACAGACCCAAGACAAAATCTTTTTTTGATTCATATTTAATCAATATGGGATGCACTAAGTCAAGATGCCATTTTTTTTCTCCCAAATATGATGGAATTATTAAAAATGACTTCCAAGATGGGGCAAAATTATCACAGAAGCAAGTGGAGGAGAAACTACTGCTGCCAACAGTTTCCAAAGAAGAGGTCTTGACCCTAAAAAGCAGTGGACCAATCACATCGCTCTATCAGAAGATGGTAGAACTTCCAACAGGTCGACCAACCAGATTGTTTGATCGGAAGGAAGTGGACTTTCTGATACCCAGTGGACCAATCGCATCATTTGCTCAGAAAATGGCAGAGGACATAGTGGCTCAGGCTCTTCAGCTCATGTGGACTGTGGAGATAAACTTCAAGGAGCTGCCCTTTATTGATAATGACACTGATTATATTATATGAATGTACTGTGTGTATCAAGTCCAGCCACAAGGGGCCAGAACATGAACAAACTGTTACTTTATGTGGATATTGTTATACGAGATTGAAGAAGCATTTGCTATTGCAACATGCCACAACCATGTCTTGGTGAAGGTTTGCACAGCACAAAGTGAAGTGTTAAAACTGACTCTCACAGAAACAGTCTGAACATTTTCTCAGGGTTTATATGAGTCCAATCTGTTCTAGAGTTAATTTAACATTTTCAGAAATGTTCATTAAGTAACACTGGACCAAAGTTCATGTTTAACCCAAAATCAAGAGTTATATTAATGTTTTGAGAGTAAACGGATAACACTCTGTAGGGTTATCCTGATTTAGCAAAACAACACACAGAGGTGTTTTTTTTAGTTAATTTACTATGAAATTATGTACAACACTGGTTCAAACTGGTCTTCTCTCGTGGGAGTCTGAAGTGGTGGGTGGAGGGGCCAAATTAACACTAATGGAAGTTGAATTAACTTCAACCATATCAACTCTGGCAAATAATCCCAGCTCCAACCCCCATTTAACTTTCAAATTGTTAAAATACCACTTTTTGTGTTAAAAACAACTCTGAAATATTTCACCCTGAAATTTTAACCCTCCAGTTTTTGCTGTGTACACTCAAATCTTGCTGAATTTATAAAACATCATTTGTAATGAAATTCAATAAATGCACACAAATAGTTTATGTTCTGGGGATTATTGTGATAGTTCCCATGTGAGACTTATATATATTTTTATTATTTACCGGTGTTAATGAAAATATACTGGATTTATGGTCAAGCAAATGTCCTTCTGTTATCAACACCACCAGATGGCAGTAGAGATCGAGAAATCCAACTCACTTTGTGTTCTTCAAGCTTTGACACTCAGAACAAGCTGTTTCTGTTATGTACGTCGCCCTTGTCCCTCCTCTTATGTCTTGCAGAACTTGAATAACTACACAAAACAACATGCCCATGAGGTAAAATCATTCAACTAAAGTAATCCAGACCAAGTCTAGTTCAAGATCTGGAGATGGGTCCCCAAACATTGTACGGCAAAAGCTCACAACTCCTTATATTTATTCATTTACATGTATTTTACTGTATCCTGATTATGAGCAGGGTCACCTGTCCACAAACCTGACATGTAAATTGGCCAAACTGTGGAACACTCCAGGCAAAACAATAACATCATGATGAAGAAAAGTTACACAGTGCACCTTTAACTAACTTTACAGTCTATGGTTTACATCTGGTGTCTGATATGTGGTCACACCAGGACAGCAGCCACACCCAGAGGTGCACACAGCAGCGGGCGGGTCTGAGGTGCAGGGGGCGTGTTCAGTGTGACGGTCATGCGTCGTGTGTTGTATGAAGACATGATGCATTCAGAAACAATCTTGACGAGTAATTACAGAAAAATGTGACACAAAACATAAATGACACTTGTGTGTTTGTGGTTCAACTGGTTCAACTCTTAACAACCACAGACGGGAAACTGCACCATGTTCCACAACTGGACCCATCTCTTGTAAAACTTTGATAATTAAAGGTGCACTGTGTAACTTTTCGGTTTCCGGCACCTTCTATAGATACGTCATGGCTCTTCTTCGAATGTTCCACAATATGACATTAAACAGATCTACCTTGTATTTATTCATTTACAAGTGTTTTAATTGTTTTATTTTATTTTATTATTTTAGTAATGCATGTGGTGGACCCTGCCCAAGAAAAAGTTACACAGTGCACCTTTAATGTTGTTTAAAGTTTATCTTTCACAATTAATAATAATATTTTAACAAACAAAGAAAAGAACACAGAGCTACAGTAACATTATTTTATTTATTGATTATTTGAATACACATCTATTTTCTCTATCATCTTTATTATGGTCTGGCATAAGAACTTGGCATAGTGTCCTAAATGTTCCTGGTCAAATGTACTACCTACAGCAGGCTCTTCCTCTGTGGATTTGCCAAGAGGAGGTCCACTGGTGCTCTCTCAGTCTTCTGCAGGACGGTTCTGCAGCCTGTAAGACAACAAACCAGACTGAGGTGTAGGCTACGGAGGTCTATTCCGTCCATCAAAATATCTCCTTTCAACATATTATCTAAAAACATTTGACTAACGTACTGTTGACTCTATTCTATAAGAAATAACCTGATATCTCATTACATTTCCACAGAATACTTGGTGCTACATCTGCTGGAACCTCATGTTAGAGCAAAAACAAAGCAGACAGAAGCAGACAGAAAGACTCACCTTTGCTCAGTCGTTCACCAGCCTCCTCTTCCGTGCCCGTGGCCCCATCCGTGTCCATGTCCATGTCCATGTCCGTGCTTGTGTTTGTGCTTATGTTTGCCATGTTTTCCATGGCCTCCATCACTGTCACTGCCGCTGTCTCCACTGCACCCGCTGCCCCCACTGCCCCCACTGCCCCTGCTGCCCCGGCCCCCGCTGTGGTCTCTATGGCGACGGCGTTCAGAACTGTGGTCCCGGTCCCTACGGTCTGGGCTGTGGTCCCGGTCCCGGTCCCTACGGTCTGGGCTGTGGTCTCGGTCCCGGTCCCTACGGTCTGGGCTGTGGTCTCGGTCCCGGTCCCTACGGTCTGGGCTGTGGTCTCGGTCTTTGCGGTCCCTACGGTCTGGGCTGTGGTCTCGGTCTTTGCGGTCCCTGCGGTCTGGGCTGTGGTCTCGGTCCCGGTCCCTGCGGTCTGGGCTGTGGTCTCGGTCTTTGCGGTCCGAGTCCTTGGAAGACTCAGGGCTGTGGCTTCGTGGCTTCGGACCGTGGTCCTCATCTTTCCTGTAAAAGTGATGCACAGACTGAAACACTTTTAGGCAGAACAGACACAGACAAACAGGTGAGGTGCAGATTAACTGAAGGTAAGACTCAGTGTGAAAAGGTGAAACTGAGGATGCTGGTTGTTCTGCTGCTAAGGTAGACAGGATGTTGGGATATTTAACTGAGAAAATGTATGATATGTATCAGAGGTAAATGGTTTTGAGAGATAAAGCAGGATATGAGTTTGCCAAACCAGCACAATATAATCCATAATAAGAATTCCAATTGCAATTGCCATTCCAATATGAGCCACAAGCAGCATTCCTGAGCCTGCAGGTGGAGGCACGTCTCCTGTGAGGAACAGTTTTGGGCATGAGGCATCTGGACAGTTGCCAGTACTTCACAGGACCGAGATATTCAGACAGACACTCATCGGTTCCCATCGCACCATATCAAATACAGGGGGCACTGAATGTATCGAGGTGAGACAACATGGACTATCATGTACTAATCAGAGGCATTGTGAGACAAAAAGTTCTCAACCAGAAAACGGTCTGTTGTTTGTCTTACCTCCCTCTGTGGTCATCGCGGTGGTCCCCTCCACCATGACGGCCTTGGTTATCGTGGTCGTCCCCCAGACCAAAACCGTCGCTGAGGTCAAACCCAGACGGGTGCTTGTCACCTAGAATCAACCAAAGGGATTAACATTACATCTACAGATACATACAAATCTAAATACAGATAATACAAATGTTGAAAATGATCTTGCACGATGGATTCCTCTGAGCTCCTACCTGAGCTGGTGCTGAACATTTTGCAGAGCTGTGAGTCGCAGACAAAAGCAGGACTCTCTTTATTTGTGTGGGTATTTTAAGCAGAGCAGGGAGTGGCATGATTATAACGACAAACCTGTTGCACCAGATTAATGGGAATGCGTCACATCTTGGTAACAACAACAAAACGACCATGTCTAAAAGTTTGCTGCTCTTTTACTGCTGCTTCGCCTCTGCTGCATGTCTGTCTGTCCTGTATTATAGACTGTACACATCTCAAAACAGTGGTAGCATGGACATACCTTTACTTCCACTGTTATTAGGCATACTTCAAGTACAAAAGGCTCTGCCATTAACTTCAAATAGTCTCAACGGTGACTACACTATGTTGTTACAGTTACTAATTACAGCTTTTGAGTAAAGTGACCAGATCAGAAACTGGGACATCCCCGGTTTGTGATGGTGTGAAACGAGAGCGTAATTAAGGAAAACTCTTCTGCACTCAGCACATTCATGACTAACATGTGAGTCAGTATAGTCACATTTTCTTTGTGTTTTGGTCGTTTTTAAGCAGCTTTTCTGTATTTTACCAAAACAAAGGACAACATATGTCTCTCTTTATTGTTGTCAGGGGTCAGATTGGTCCAAAATAGGGACACTTGGGACATTTCTTGTATAAAACTGGGACAAATAAATAGTTTTGTATGAATCTGCTGGGACAGGGGACACAGACTCAAAACTGAGACTGTCCCAGGGAAATAGGGACGTCTGCTCACTCTAGTTCTGTGTACTGTGTACTGTGGTACGTCCTCTGGTACACATGATGGTTACTTAATAGTGTGTCTGAATTGGTTGAACTCACTTTAATCCCAGTGTAATCCTGCCTCCTGGTTTAAGATTCCACACATTTCTTAGAGCTTGAACTAGTTTCGCTCTGTTCTCGATTTATTTTAGCAATGCTTACATTTACATTTACATTTGCATTCACAGTGCATATGACACGTTACAGCACTTTTCCACGAAACACAGTTAACATTTTACTGAAAATCTTGCCTTGTTCTTTCTTTTTTATTCTGGTGATGCAGCAGATATGACGTGTACAGATTCCATTCCATAACTGTTACCTAGCAACCATAATGTTAACAATCTAATCAAAGCAGTACAGTATATTACACAACAGTTATGATTAGACTCATGAAAATAAATGACCATGCTTTTATGTTTTCATATTACTTTCTACTTTCTATTATCTTTATTTTTTACTTCGTCATTAAAAACAGACCTGGATTTGTGTTTTGTTTGATTGATTGATTGGTTTTTATTTCGAGTTTGTGCCAAGAGAGAAACAATAATCATGTATACCATATATACATTATAAACAATAGAAAAGCACATTTCTGGAAAAGGAGTGGGAAGAAGAAAAACTTATATGAACCCACCCCTATTCATGACATAGTTTCAAAATTGATGTGGTTGCTTCTGTACGTTGATCACGGAGTATCAGTGTAAATGTTACTGCAGATAAACCTGAATTTCCCTCGGGATCATAAAGTGTATCTCTCTCTACTAAACAAAAGGTAAAATGTAGCTGTTTACTTACCACTCTATGACATCACAAGGTGGAACAGAACATTCTGAGCTTTGGAGATGCAGACAGACTAATGATGCAGGGCTCCTCAAACATGTGTGAATGAAACAAAACACAACTCCAGCTCTGTTTTGGATGAGGCAACATTATGACATGGCTTGAAGCTTTATGTAATATAGGACTTTTATTAAATCTTGTAAATCAGTCAGAATAATATGCTTTTTTGCTTAGAAATTGTTCCTGCATTTTGCATAAAAGTTTTTGTGTTGATGACAAAGGTAGACTTATTCTGTTTTAGAACACACCTCTACTAGGCTGGTCCATCAGAGCATGGTACAAAATAAAGATTCAGATCATCGATTAGGTCTATGCAGGACTATGGTCATGAGCTCTGGGTAGTGACCGAAAGGACGAGATCGCGGATACAAGCGCTTGAAATGGGTTTCCTCCGCAGGGTGGCTGGGCGCTCCCTTAGAGATAGGGTGAGGAGCTCAGTCACACAGGAGGAGCTCGGAGTAGAGCCGCTGCTCCTCCACGTCGAGAGGAGCCAGTTGAGGTGGCTCGGGCATCTGTTCCGGATGCCTCCTGGGCGCCTCCCTCGGGAGGTGTTCCGGGCATGTCCCACCGGGAGGAGGCCCCGGGGAAGACCCAGGACATGCTGGAGGGACTATGTCTCTCGACTGGCCTGGGAACACCTCAGGGTTCCCCCGGAGGAGCTGGAGGACGTGTCTGGGGTGAAGGAAGTCTGGGAGTCCCTGCTTAGGCTGCTGCCCCCGCGACCCGGCCCCGGATAAGTGGACAAAAATGGATGGATGGATGGATCATCGATTAGAACCTGCATTAGGTTTTAGCACCAAAAGATGATTTAAGAAGACAAAGGAGATGTTTTAGAGGTTGCTCAAGGTGCATGAAGTTTCTGCATGAAGTTTTGAAGCTCCTGCAGATGATTTGGTTTTCTTTAAGAAGCTGTCACAGTCTGAACATTCAGTGAAGAAAACACCTGAACAGCTTTGGGTCACATCTTTGGTACTTGAGTGAAGAAATGTTTGTCCTGACATTCTTCACTCCAGTGTGACAGAAGAACAGAAGAAGCTGATGCTTCACAATATTATGGAAAAGGAAGGTGCACAGGTTCCACCAAACTGACAAGACGCTCTTAATCAAGCAGATTATGAAGAGAAGCAGATAAGTGAGTTTGTCTCCACCAGCACCATGTGTTTCTTCTTCTTCTCTTGATCTGCCAAAAACATTTAGAACAGTTCTCCTGCAGCAGACTGGGCTGATGATGAGACTTTCAGAAGCTGCTCAAACTGTGCATCCAGGAAAATGTCCATGATGTTGCTGAAAGGAGGTGAAGCTTATTCAAGATTTGAACTGTAGCTGAACAAAGACTGAAGATCAGAAACAGGATCTACTGCAGGAGTCACACACACAGGAGCATTTTTAGTGACAAAGCAACAAACACACGGTGGAGCTGGACTTTAGAAACAACTTTTATGGACTTTTAAGTCATTTTTATGCAAGTTTCAGTTTGTGTTTGCAGAATAAAATGACAAATTATTTGAATAGGCCTTTTTTATTTGGTTCTATGTTATAGTTTAGGCTGCAGGGCAATTTTCAAGTGTCTTGAGCAAATATTAAATATTAACTAATTTGCATAACATTTTGACCCAAATATTTTGATCAGATATGGAACCAAATGCTTAATAATTCTAATCTAGAGAATCTAAAACAAATTTTGGACCACCCTGACCTCTACGTCATGTTTTTATTTATTTATTATTTTTGTGTACTTTTCTTCTCAGTGATCTCGACTGCTACTTAACTGATGTAAAACAATAAATATTTGTAGTAGCAGTAGTAGTAGTTTATTCAGCCATTTTGCAGCACTACAAAACAAAAACAAAACTAAATATTGACTATAAACCCATGGTTCATAACCAAAAGGGTTTAGGCTGAAGTAAAAGTACTTCTAACGCCAAACCCTGTTAAACAATCACAGAATTCTAAGAAAGAAAATCAAAGGAATATTATCCTGCAATACTAAATCTGTCATTTATATGATCACCTGCTCCTGTGGTAAAGCCTCTGAGGGGAAAACAAGCAGGGATTTGAAAACACTTAGTATTGCAGTATTGCAGAGCAGAGGAGCACCATCAGATGTAAAAACATGAACTATCCTGTGGCAGCTCATTTTGTAGATTTCAACCATCCTTTCTCTGCCTTATCTGGAAATGCTCATCAAAAAGAGAGCACTTCTGGATTCACCAACTTATGCTTCTTGCTCTTCTTGGACTTAATTGTAGTTTTACCTAAGATGTTTTTTTGTTTTTTTAAATCTAAATATCTAACTGTTGTTTTCTTGTTGTAGAGTGGGCTGATCTCACTGAGTGACATCACTTTGGGACCTCCCATTCATTGGATATGAGCACCTGGGCTGTAACCATTTTGTGTAGTGTGATTCAAAGCAAGAAAAATTATCTGATGAAAGCTTTTTTACCAAAACGTTATTTAAAAAAAAATAAAATAAAGCTTTTGGACATCGGTCATCTGAGTGTGCTATGCATTTTTTTACTTTTATGTTGTTGTAAAAGGCCCATAATGCCCCAGTGACTGTTGGAGGCTGTTAGTTGAATCACTATTATGTAAGACCATAAAAGTAACAAAGGTAAGGAGCTGTTGTCTAACCTGCTCAACCAAACCACATGAAAACCCAGTCATCTCTCTTATCTCCTGTTACAACTACTTTCATTTACATAGAACGTACCCTCACATGCTCAGTGTTTTAGGATCTGTAACATCGCCACCTGCTGGCCGCGATTATAACAGCACGTTACTACTCACTGATCAATGTTCAACCATCTCATTATTTACTGTCCTTAAGTATACATTTTATGTATGTGTACTTTACTTAAGTGTATTGGATACTTTTACTTTACTTCATTACATTTGAGAGAAGGTACACTGGAAAAAAAATAATAATAATCTAAAAATTACTTAAGAACATTTGAATTTATTTGAGTTGATTCAATCTCAAAAGTCAAATGATCTACCAAGGAATAAGTGTGTTTTTCTTAATTCAAACATTCAATTTCTTTGTTATTTCAAGTGCAAAAAGTTTTTTTTTTTTTCTTATTTTAAGCATAGCAAGATGTATTTTCATATGTATTTTCAAGTACAATAAGGGCAGATCATTGTACTTGTCAAGTGAAATTGACTCAAATCATAATAAAACTTTATAATCAAAATCATCTTAACTCTGCTCGATTTAGTTTTTTGCAGTATATCTGTACTTTCTGATCCACTACATTTTTAAACTGGTTCTGAAAAGTAAAAGTATTTTTATTACAGTTTGAGACCTGCTGAAAAGGCTGAGGGTTTATTTTTAACACTTTCATATGTATATATATATATATATATATATATATATATATATATATATATATATATATATATATATATATATATATATATATATATATATATATATATATATATATATATATATATATATACATATATAATATATAAT